GACGATGGTGCCAGTGAGACTCGGTACCCTTTGAGGCCAAGAGATTTATTAGAGCAGCGGCTACAGGGAGAGGGAAGGAGGTCTGTAACCGCCTGGTGGGAAAAGGGAGTGAGAGAGAGAGGGCAAGAGAGAGGTCTGTATTTATCGGTTTTGGGAGGGGGCGGCCTGTGCTCTCTGAGCCTGTCCGTGCCAGCCAGAGCCATCTTAGGGTCTTTATTGGAGGGAGCTATGAGGTAGTATTCCTATAGGGAGATAATGTTTGTACATGAGTTTAAGTTTCGCGCGCGCACGGGAGAAGCAGGAATTTATGGCCTTTGTTGTCTTTGTTAGGTTCCCTAGTGTTGGCGCCGTCTCAGGAGACATCCTTCTGGCTGTTTCCCGTGCCTTTCAATTACTACAGGACTGCAGGAATATGTGGAAGCTGTCTCTTCAACACTTCATCAAAACACGATCAATAATCAGCATGGATGAAATTAATAAGCAGTTGATATTTACAACAGAAGACAGTGGGAAAGAAAATAAGACCCCCTCCTCTGATGCACAGGATAAGCAATTTGGTACTTGGAGACTGAAAGTCACACCTGTTGATTATCTTCTGGGAGTGGCTGATTTAACTGGAGAGTTGATGCGTATGTGTATTAACAGTGTGGGGAATGGGGATATCAACACCCCCTTTGAAGTGAGCCAGTTTTCATGTCAGGTTTATGATGGGTTTTCATTCATTGGCAACACTGGACCGTACGAGGTTTCTAAGAAGTTGTATACCTTGAAACAAAGTCTGGCCAAAGTGGAGAATGCTTTTTATGCCTTGAAAGTCAGAGGTTCAGAAATTCCAAGACATATGCTAGCAGATGTATTTTCAGTTAAAACAGAGATGATTGATCAAGAAGAAGGCATTTCTTAGAATCACATTACTGTTGTTATTCTCTTGAGAACTCCTAAGAAAGACCAATTTTTAAGACTGTTATCTAGTATTTCGTTTGACTTTATTGTGGCTTTTACATAGAAACATTTTTAGTTGTACTTGTTTTAAATTGTATACAAGCTGTACATAAAATTATCCAAACGAATCATTTCTTATATCTTAGTCATGAAAGTTTGTGTACAAATGTTTGCATATATGCCTGTTTGCATTTTTGCTGGTTAACCTTCTTCATTTATCTTTGCAATGTGAACATGTTTTAGAGTGCACTTTCCGCCATGCCTATTTTAATTTACTTTGTATGAATTTTGGAATGGTAATTTTTAGTGGAAGCCATTTGTAATTTAAGTTGGCGATTTATTGTATATAGAAAAGGCTTTTTAGTTAAACTTCTTTTTTAGTTTAAATTGCTTGTTAATATTGTGCCAAGCCTTCCAAATAGACTTATTGCATGGAAGAAGAGTTAAAAATTAAATAGCTACCAATATACTTTAATCTAAGTACAAGCTCATGAGGTATTATAGTGAAAATTTATATTCTTAATTTGGCTAATTTTAGGCTGTTATAAATTTATATGAAACAGCGTTCTAGAAAAATTGACATATTCACATTTTACTTTCTTCATTTTTTTGTCCTTTATCACAGAAGGTTGGATAGAGAATTGGAGCTAACATTATAATATTTTCACTGGTTAAGTTGAAATACTGGCACATACAATTGAAAAACTTTTAGTAGTGATTATTTAGCAACTTTTTTGTTGTTATTATATTAGGCATGTTTGGAGGCTTCCCCATTCTAATGTCTATTACAAATTACATTTATATAATTATAATGAAGTTTTGAAATACTAAATTAATCCAAACCTTTATAGCTATCCTATGGTGTTAATTGAAAAATTACATAAAAGTTGCCAAAGAAAATGCATCATGTACAATTCAGCAATAAGACAATTGTCAACACAGTTGAGGATAACAATGGTGGTCTCTAGTAATATTTAAAATCAGAATTTACCTACTGAAATTCTAGATTATTACTTATGAGATGAAACTGACTTGAGCGTGACACTATTGGCTAACAAGCAGACATTTCTAAATGGTTTTGTGAATTTTGAGAATCTAGGTACTGGATTTTATTTTTTAAAGATTAGCTCTGTTTGTAAGGGCTGATTCTTTGAAAATGTAATATTCCAAAAAAAAGATCACCTAGAAGAAAATAAAACATAGACATGCCTAAAAAAGAATCAACTTTGACTCATACACTTCCCAATTTCAAACATACTATGCAACTGCAGTAACCAAGAATGTGTGCTGCTGGGTCAGGATAGAATTATAGAAGGAATAGAACTTAAAGTAGATATAAACTCTCACGTTTATGCTCAGTTGATTTTTGACAAGAGCATCAAGACTATTCAATGGAAAAAGTATTATTTTTTTAAGTACATAAAATATTTAGTATTCCACACAGCATAAAATTTGACAAACCAAAGTTTACATGTCCTCATTGACCATGTGCGAAAATACAAAACAGATATTAAAACTGATATGTCCAATATTTAAAACCAGTTTGTAGTTGGGGAACATGTAAGTTCTTAATTAAAAAACACAAATGAAGTGAAAGCTTTAAATTGGTACACACTGTTCACACTTATATTTCTTCAAGTTTGGAGATGCATATTTGCAAGCAACAATACAAAGATATTCATGAAGAATGCATAATCTCTGAAAATGATTAAAATATCCCTCTATATTTCAAATACATTTCAAAATACAAAACTAGGTACCTTCTGTGTAGTGAGTGAAGTTTATTTTCAAAACAGATAAAACTCAGTCTGTAGGTGTGAATGGTATGAATGACAATCTTTTAAAAAAAAATTTCTTAGTTGTTTGGAATCCTTAATCATGCAAAAGCTTTGAACAAGAGGGTCCACAGAGGAACCAGGGTTGTCTATGGCATTCAGTTAAGCCAGAGATGGGAACGCCTCCAGCTCATCCACATCAGGAGCAGAAGCACTTGACTTGTCAGTCCTGCTCCCATGGTTTGGATGTCCACCACATCCACGTCCACCTTGTCCTCCCCTGCCACCATGTTCTGGGTGGTCAAGGTCTTCAAATTGATCTCCAGTGGAGACATTATATCATTTGCTGGCTTCCGGAAATGACAGTCCATAACCGAATCTTTAACCTGAGCCTCTTTACTCTTTGACTTGTGAGGAACAAACCCCTTCTTCCATTCCCCATCAGCACCTTCATTTTGTTTCCAGATACTAAAGTCCTTGTTTTGAACAGCCTTCCATTCATCCAAAGTCATCTCTTTTGGACCCTCTTCCTTTAACCTCTTCAGCTTTATTCTCCTTATTTTCAGTGTCTGCCCCTGGATGTTCTTCTCCTGCAGGTGTTTCCCCAGTAACATTTGATTGATCCAAGTCAGTTACTTCATCTTTGACAGTTCCCCAGTTGAGAAATCTTCTACCTCCTTGTTCATCTTCAGGCTTCAGGGCACTGTAATATGAAAAAGAAGATCTATCACTTCCACTATGCCTACCAAATTCACAGTTGCCGTGAGAATCCAATCCATCTCCTCAGCCCATTCCGCGTCCAGGGCCTCCTCGACCTCTTCCAAGACCACCATGGCCTCGCAGAGGTCAGCCAAGAATTGGTCACCAACTTAAATCCTGCCTCCTTCGCCCTTGTCTTCAAGTGGCTTATCAACCCTTTGTTCACAAGGTGTCTCCTTTTTGGTCTTCTGTCAGTTGTTTTCCCTTCACTCTGAAGTTGTTGATCAGGTTTTCTTCCAGCTCATCTTATTCCTTCTACGAGAAACAGACTCACCCGTCCAAAGTCAGAGGATGGACGCGGAGACATGGAGTGCAGCAGAAGTGAGACTTCAGTGGCAGTCTTGCAAGACCATGTGTCTGGCGGGCAGGCACGCCCAGAGCAGTTGCAACAAGCAATTGATTCCCTCGTGTGCAGGTCCCTCCCCCAGTTCCTTACTGACTAAGGACTATGAGGTCACAATTTTTCCCAGACGTCACCTAAGAGTTTTTGGTCCAAATTAAGGTTAAAATAAGTACTTGCTGCTATTTGACTGGAGGACTTCAACTTTCTTATTTCTAAGTAAGTTTCATTTCCCCAAGATGTGACTATTCCCATGCCTCCCTTTGTTTTGTCTTTTTTGTCACATCAGCAAACCTTACTCCATTTTCTGGACATGAATCATTTATTGTCCTTCACACTTCTTTCTTAAGTGCCACGGACAGCTGTCTCCTCTTTCTTGTCAACCACACCGACACTGGGGGTCAGTGGGTTCTTGTGGTCTTTCTGGGACTCTTGAAGCAGCTGTTTGCCAGCTGCATTGGAGTTGGCCTGGGTCGTGGCCTGAGCTGTGCTCTTGGTCCCAGGACGCCCAACGCTGTACCCACTGGCTTCTTTTTTCTTGTTCTCTGCTGCCTTCAGCAGCTCAAAGTGGTCCAATTCATCATCAAATAATTGGTCAAATCAATTGGAGACCACACAGCTGAAGCCTTCCTGTAAGTGCCCAGGCATGATGGTGTCTCAATGGCGTATTCCTCCATGGATGGCAGCAGGCTGCACCAAGCCAAAAGTATCTGCTTCAGCTCTTCCTACAAGACTAGGAAAAGTCTTCTTTTCAGTGAATTGTGCTGGGGTAACTAGATATACACATGTGAAAAGTGAGGATAGATCCCTTCCTTACACATATGTGTAAAAAAACTTAACTCCAAATGTATCATAGATTTAAATATAAGAGCTAAAACTATAAAACTCTTAGGAAAAAAAGGAGAGTAAATCATCATGTCCTGGGGTTAGACAAACCTTTCTAAAATATGACACCAAAATCACAAACAACAGCAAAAGAAATTTATTGGATTTCATTAAAACTGAAAATGTTCAAGCTTCAAAGGACAACATCAAGAAAAAGAGAAGACAGCCTACAAGAGGGAGAAAACATTTGCAAATCATATATTTGATAAGGGATGTTTATGTAGAATATACAAGGAATTCTTACAACTCAATTTAAAAAAACCAATTTTTTAAATGACAAAGGATCTAAATAGCCAATAAGCCCACTAAAAAATACTCAATGTATTTAGCCATTAGGAAAATGCAAATCAAAGTTACAATGAAATAACACTTCACCCCAACTAGGATGGCTATAATAAAAAAGACAAGTAGTAAAATGTGTTGGTAAGAATGTGAAGAAATTGAAATTCTCATACATTGCTGGTAGGATTGTTAAAATGGTGCAGCTGCTTAGGAAAACAGTTTGGCAATTCCTCAAAATAACAAACATAAAATTACAATATGACCCAGCAGTTGCACTCCTAGGCGTTTAGATGACAAAAATGAAAATATATGTCCACACAAAACTTGTAAATGAATGTTCACAGCATCATTTTTCATATTAGCCAAAAAGTAGAAATCACCCAAATTATACGTCCATCAAGGGATAAAGGGTTAAACAAGGATGGTACATGAGAGGTGACCCCCCCCCTGGAATTGTCTTTTGGAGGGCAGACCCCTTGTAGTTCATTCAGAGTTTGTTTCTCCAGATCAGACAGTTCACCAACGTTTTTACCTGGAAGTTTTGAGAAGGTTGTGCCACGATTTGTGGAAGAAATGTCTTGCGTTGTGGCAACAGGTAACTGGTTCTTCCACCAGGACGACACACCTGCCTACACCAAGCTTAGTGCTCGGCAGCTTCTGACCCCAGAGGGCATGGTCCCTGTGCCCCACTCTCCTTATTCACCTGATCTCACCTAGAGCGATTTTTCTGTGGTTGTTTCCCGGATGAAAAAAGTCCTCGGAGGGAAACGTTTTGCCGATGTGGAAGAGGCGAAACAGAAAACAACAGAGCACTAAAAGACATCAAAATTGACAAGTTCAAAAACTGTTGTGAGTTGTGAGAAAAGGCGTCTTGATAGGTACACTGCATCAAACGGTGAGTGTTTTGAAGGTGACTGAAGTTTAAACATGTAAGAATAAAGACACAGTTTTTAAATACATCAATTCCAGGAACTTTTTGGTTTCCCTCTCATATTTTTGCCGTGGCACATTATTTGAAAATAATACATGCTGTAACATGAATGAGACTTGAAAACATCATGTTACATGAAAGAAACCAGTCAAAAAAGGCCACATCTTGTATGAGTTTATTTATTTTTATTTATTCTTTTCTTACTTTCCTTCTTTTTTTTTTTTTTGAGTTGAAGTCTCACTCTGTCACTCAGACTGGATTGCGGCGGCACGACCATGACCACTGCAGCCTTGACCTGCTGGGCTTAGGTGATCCCTCTGCCTCAGCCTCCCTAATAACTGGGACTGCAGGCTCATACCACCATGCCCAGGTAATT